TTGTAGAGTGTGAGAGTTAACCCTTGAGGGCTCAGACAATTGCTAGTTCATCATTTAGCAGTAAGGCATACCCTGGGAAATATCCCACCCTCTGACTCCTCCACCTCAACCAAGCTTCACAATCATCATCACTGTGTACCAGTATTAAATTGTTTGTTTAAAACTTATACTGTGTGTGTGTGTATATATATATATATAATATAGTCTTTTGGCTGGTGAAAAAAATTTCTCTGGAACCTAACCCCTCATTTACATTAATTCTTATGGGGAAATTGGATTCGCTTAACAGCGTTTCGCTTAAAGTCGCATTTTTCAGGAACATAACTACAACGTTAAGTGAGGAGTTACTGTAATCTTCAAGCAGACTTTTTAGAAAAAAACTTGTGTGTTTTCTCTTCACAGATTCAGGTCTTAAAAGTGAGGAAATCATGGTGGACACTGTCTTGGCACCATGGACAATAATCCTGGTGATCTTTGCTTCAGTGCTGATAATGAGCTTTCTGATGTTTCTCCCCCCTGTTGCCGTGGTGATCTGGAAAATGAAGCATATGCCCCAGATCTCTTTGCATGGAACTGTATAACCAGGCCTAATGGACAAAGAATCCTGCAACTAAACAAGCTACAAACTTACTCACAACTAGCAACTATTTAATAGGATCCATCACAAAAAAATGAGCCTTTCCCAGGCCTATGGCTGCTGAGGTCCTGCACGACACTGTATATATAACTTTATATTAACTTGCTATAGTTCCTACCACTCTTCCTACATCTAATTGACTGCACTGTACTTCATATGACTTGTTTCTTGGATTGTGCTTCTCTTTATGACCATAACTGACCAACGTATGACAAAAAGAAAAACAAGTAGCACATGCCTTTGTAGTTATGACTACTTGTAAATAGCACCAAAAAGACACAAGGTAACTATATTAATCTGAAAAGCATGGTAAGCCCTGAGATATATATATATATATATATAGTTTGATAGAAGCTGAATATATTTTCCCTCAAAGGGAACAGTGCAATGAATGGCATAGTCATTGCTATTAATTAACCACAGTCTTGTGTCTGTTTGGTTTGAAAAATTTGTTCTTCTGTTTTGACCATTTCTTGTTGTTGTTGGGTTTTTGGTTGGTTGGGTTTTTATTTAATTTTTTCCCCAAAATTCTAAGTGTCACAACACAAAGCTATCCCCATCCCTTGGCTAGAATTCTTGTGTGCTTTATAACCCGGTGCTCAAAGCTCAACGGTGCAAATGTAAAACACAAACTGTGGCAAGTTAAAGCACACATGCTGCAGGAATTTCCCCTGAATTGTAGTGACCGAATTTACTATGGAAAACAGAATGTGATTATTTAGGTTTAAATATGTCCTGTAGTTTGTGTTCCTTAGTGTGCCTTAGCACTTCTCAAACTGAATATTTTGGAAAGGAGGGACTAGGACAATTAAAAGCTTATTAGCACTCCTATCAGGAAAGCAACCTCCAGCATTTTATGTCGAACATACCCAATGTCATAAAAGATTGTGGGCCTGATTCTGCCCTTCTCATGCTGCGTTTAATAGGATGATTTGTGTTATATGTGGTTAATGCTTTCCACTACCATGCAGGTTTGCTCTGAGCCACATTCTGATCTGTGTAAATCTGGCATAAACATGTGCCACTGATCAGACTCTGTAGTTTGTCCCTTTATTGGTCACTATTATGTCAACTTTAAATAATAATAATAATAATAATAATCAAGAGGCTAAGTCCTGTTGTTCTTACTCAGGCAAAAGTCTATAAGCCCTGTCTAAACAAGGCTCAAAGACTAGATTTCTTTATTTTGGTGGGGTGGGGAAAAAAGAGAAACAAATCTGCTTCTTTTGAAAGGAGATAGCAATACTTTTTGTCTCACATGTAGGGAATTAAGCTACTGCCTGCACTGTAACTGACTGAACCAGAAGACTTCTTTCTCTTTCCCTTGGCATCCTTTTCCACTTCCATCTAATAAATAAAGGAGGGCTGTTCTGTTTAGTTATTGGGCTGAAATCAAATATTCTGGGTAATTTTACAGTCTGGTTTTTTATTTACTGACTTTTTAAAGCTGTAACTTCACTTCTCAGATGCACAAAGTACAGTTGCCCTAAAATGACCTTCAGTGTCCTTGACGATAATGGCTAATGAGAGGGAAGGCTACTGAGGGTCAAATGCAGCATAACAACGCTCTTTCTTTGGAACTACTGCTAATAGTCATGAAGATTGGAAAAAGGAACTGATATGAAAAAGAACACAAACTGTGGGGGTGTCCATTATCAGAGCTGTGGACATGGTGTACAGTCAACAAAAAAATAGAACAAAAACCTTCCAGACTCAGATCACTTAGAAAACTAAGTAGCCACCAAACCCTCTGTTTATGTTTCATAATTGTTTGCTTTCATGTTCTGTAACTATGTCACCCAACACAGATTAGTGCCGTATTTGAAAAGGACCTGGGATTGTTTTCTCGCTTTCTGCTCCAGGTGACCAACAGCTAAGTATTCTTTTCCTCTTCATGTTTCTCATTTAACTTGCTAAACGGTGATTAGATTTTTAGCAAAATGGGCTTAGCCTCAATCCTCCAAACTTAAATGAGAGACCAAATCATTGTGTATCTCTTCTACCAAACCTGCCTCAGTATTGGATTGGAATCAGACAAGGAAGTATAGAAGAGATGTGGTTGGAAGCTTTTGAAATCTTTCACGCAGCTAAGGGATCTGTACCCTCTCTGAAGGTAATGCATGAGGATGGGCTACTGCAAGTTCAAGGCCAAGTGTCTCAAAACTCTTAAAAGTGACTTCATCAAAGGTGCCTAGAAAAGTTCCATGCTTGCAGCCATCTGTGGTTAAATCCTCTGAAGAAGAATTTAGTGCTTAATTGAAGGGTCAAGGTAAAATAACCAGACACATTCATGATCCTAGTAGGACATGTAAAAGTAGAGCATGCTCTCCCAACTGTCTAGCCTTTGCGAGTGGCAAAAGTGACTTATGCTGCTTGCTTATAACCATCAATTGAGTTCATTACACAGTTCATTGCTAAGGCCAGCTAAATAATGGGGGAGGGGGAAATAATGACACTTTTTTCCTATGCGAAACTCAGAACGTACAGACATTTTCAGCGAGGCATTTCCATGGGCATTTAAAGTGTAGAAACTCTCCAACGTTCTTGGCTATTGAGTATCATTAACTTTGCTCCTGCTCTGCTAAAAAATGTAGGCAGGAGGTGGAGGTTTGTGTGACATTAGGCATAGACTAGAAGTTAGTGCAAGATGTCCATTTGTATCTAATCTGTTTAAAGGAATAACTGCACCTGTGTCTTCACTGAAAACAGATATATTTGCATAGGTTTTTTAATCTGTTTTTCATTAGCTCATGTGAGCTACTATTTGCTCTGTTGTGTTGCAATACATCTTCATTGGCAATGAAGTTGAAAACCCAGCTAATCTCATTTTATCTATTTATCAAAAAGTCTGCTAGGCTTGGCCAAACTGAGTAAATAGCTTTTACCACAGTGGTATGTGACGCATCTCTAAACGGATAATGCAAAATTTCCAAGCTGTCATTTAATCAGACTTGCTATATCGTTATACCATTGATGGGACTCCAGGCACTGTTATATCATCACTTTTCTATGGCATACAGTCCATTTTGAAACACTTTTCAGGGGTTTTGCACTCTATTTGTAGACCAGGCTATTAAAAAAGACACGCTTGTTTTACACACAGAGAGGGGATAGCTTCCTGAATGGACAGTTAATGTCTTATAAATAAAATATAGAATTTTTAACAAAATGACCTTTTTAAAAATGTGTCTACTTTAAAAATGTAATTAATATCTCAGTGCTATCATTCCATATTCACTAAATGGTCTTAGATTTGACACATAAGTGGTCTCAGAATCTTCACGTAGATGGCCTTCGTTTTGTCATTTGGTTGGCGTGAGTTTTGCACTTTAAAAGGGCTCAGGAGTAGTCTCAATTTTGCCACTTTAGTAGGGTGATTTTGGTATTTAAGTGGTTGCAGGGGTAACTTTTCCCACAGAAATCATCCCAGTTTTGCCACTTAAATGCCAAAATCACCCCATTAAGTGGCAAAATTGAGACCACTTAAGTGACAAAAGTCACCATACTGAGGGCTGGTCTATACTTACCGGGTAGTTCGACGGCTGGGGATCAAAGTTCCGGGTTCGATTTATCGCGTCTGGTCTGGACGCGATAAATCGAACCAGGAAGTGCTCGCCGTCGACTGCGGTACTCCAGCTCAACGAGAGGAGTACCGCGGAGTCGAAGGGGAGCCTGCCTGCCGCGTGTGGACCGCGTCTGAACCGCGGTAAGTTCGAAGTAAGGTATGTCGAATTCAGCTACGTTATTCACGTAGCTGAATTTGCGTACCTTACTTCGACTTGGGGGGTAAGTGTAGACCAAGCCTGAGATACTTCAATGAGCTCTTTAATGGGATGATTTATGTGGCATGTCCCCCCTTAGACTTCTTAAGTGGCAAAAGTCTCCTAATGTGGCAAAACTGAAACTATTCAAGTACTAAAACTGGAATATCTTAAGTAGGAGAAGTTACCTCAGAGATAGCACTAATATGGTACTAGTAAGACACTAGTAAGCACTAGATAGCACTAGTAAGGCAACTAAAGTGGCAAAACCACCCCCCAGGACCAATTAAATGGCAATCACATCCGAGACCACTAATGTGGAAAAAATGGGACTCCCTGAGTGGCAAAAAACACCTCTTAGACCACTAAAAGGGTAGAACTGGGAACATCTAAGTGGGAAAAGTCACCCCAAAGGCCACTAAAATGGCAGAAGTCACCACACTAAAATGGCAAAACAGGGGCCATTTAAGTGGCTAAAATCAACCAAGAGACTGCTAAAGGGACCACTAGTGGTAAAGACCACTTAAACAACAAAATCAGGGTGACATAAGTAGCAAAAATAACTCATGAGACCACTAAAGTGGACGACACCAAGCTGGGAGTAGTTGCAAGCACTTCAGAGGACAGGATTTAATTTCAAAATGACCTTATAAATTAGAGAATTGGTCTGAAATCAACAAGATTAAATTCAATATAGATAAGTGCAAAGCAAATGTACAACTACAAAATGGAGAATAACTGTCTAGGCAGTAGTACTGCTGAAAAAGATCAGTACAGGATTGTTAAACTGACATGAAGAAAGTTTGCGCATTCACTACTCATGCACTACCTGTTCCCTAGATAAAGAGAAGACTTCAGTCTCCAAGGCTGTCAATTAAGCATTTTTCATCAGCACTGAACAAATTTAATCTACATAATTGAACACTTTTTTTATTACATGATACACATGTTGGGAAATAGACCGTACTGCCTTAGCTTCAGCTCTGAATTCTATGCAAACTCCATATTTGTGCGCATCTAAGGGCTGAAGTTAGTTCAAATGATGGATGTGCTCTTCAATCCTTCTTAAAAATGCCACATGTTCATTGATCTGAGAACTATCCCATTAGATTGATATGAATTGACCTGCCTTTAGCTTTTAAAATATCCTATGACAATTACAAATATAGTAACCCACCTGCCTGCGCTACGTTTGTTGAACCATACACCTAGTTACCACACAATATACAATCAATTGCCATTTCACGTTTCTGAGAGACGTCCTTCTCAGCCTCAGCAAGTTCTCTGAGGAAGATTTCTATCTGCTCGCTTTCAGCAGTGGCATTGGCTATTGTTTGTTGACAGCACATGTGAGTGGGGAAGTATGCAGACTTGACTCCACTGACGGCAATTGGTGAGGCTGTAAAGACAAAAGGAGATTAATTACAAATCTGAAACCAGTGGACTAGGCATGGCAAGGGAGCTTGGGTAGTGGCCCCAGAGAAACTATATCCACCCCTACCAAGTGAAGCTCAGGAATAGCCTTTGCTGTCTGAAATAAAGCTGCTCCTCATTTTGACCCTCGCAATCAGCTCAAGTAAGAGTGAAATGAGTCTCCATAGTTAAGAGTGGAATGCTTTCACCAAACACAGGAAGGATGGCCTTGTGAGCAAGGCACTAAGTAAGACTCAAAAAGTCTGTGTTCCATTCCTGACTCTCTCCCAGACTTCATATGTAACACGTAATCTCTCTAGTCTTCATCTGTAAATGGTAGATGATAATGCTTTCTGTGTGCTCCCCTTTGTCCATCTTATTTATTTAGACGCTTTGGGGAAGAAATTGCCTTTTTATAGTGACTTGCACAACAGGTCCCTAATTGGGTTCTTTGCGCACTACTGTAATATAAATGGCAATCCTTCCTACTAATATTATTCCATGCATTGATACACTATCTACAGAAGACGTTAGAATCCACACATTGATCATCAAGCACACAAAAACAAAGTAGAATATATGTTCAGGTATAATGTCATAAAAGGTACCGCACGCGTCAAGATGATTATTGGCTAATAAATGTGAAAAATTATCAAAGTTGAAACACAAAGTTGACCTTTCCTTTACTGTGGGTTTAAAACTAACAGTATTTCTAAACCTGCAGTAAATAAAACGGTACTATTACCCATATTGGAATATTTGCTAGTTAGAATTTTGGGAGTTTTCTTAAATCAGTGGTTTCCAGGGGTCCGCAGACTATATCTAAGATTTCCAAAGGGTCCGCACCTCCATTCGAAATTTTTTAGGGGTCCACAAATTAAAAAAAAGTTGAAAACAACTGTCTTAAATAATAACAGATTTCAGAAATACTCACAGATACAATCAGCCAGCCTGTTTCCACCAACTAGTTGTGTTGTCCAGGAATAACCAGTAGACTCTCCACATTTCTCATATACCCTGCTTCGTCTCAGAAATCCAAAGTCATAACCCTTGTGTAACACACATGAAAGAAATTCTATGAATTAGATGACATCACTGAATCATGTTTACTACAATAAACTGCAATGTTAGTCCACTGGATTTCAATGAGAGTACTTGTGTTAATAAATTTATACATGTTTGCAGAATCAACGCCTTCATTCGTATATATGTGTGGTGATATATCAGTAGTTACAATATTAATTGGCAAATTGGAGGGAGTCAGAAGAAAGCCAAGAAGAAGGAATTTAAAAGGATCTGAAACTGTGATGAAAAAAAGGGAAATATAATCAGATGGCAGTTATAGGATAAAAACCTTGGGAGGAAATAACATTAAGGAGGCATGATTTAAGGTGTAAAATTAAGGAGTATTGACTTAGAACTAAAACAGGGGGAACAACAAGTTAAGTATCAGAACTCCATGAGACAACAAAGGAGGTGACTAGGTGTTTAGAGTCCAACAAATCCAATAAAACCAAGCATAATGTGAAGTCATAATGAAATCTTCCTTCAGAGAAGTCTAAAAAAAATACAGCACGATTCTGTTCTGCAAAATCCTTCCTATTCCAAGCATCATTCTCCCCAATACAGACAATAAATGCACAGCGATATATGGACATATGTTCATATAAAGATTAGGCTAAGGGTAGCCTTCAAACTTAACACTGTGATCTAAGTATTCAAATATGTCTGTGATGGGTCCAGGAAAGAACTAGAAAAGAAGAGGAGAGATGAGACCAGAGGTTTCAACACATACCTTTCAGGGTAGAAGGGCTACTGTATTAATGCACTGAGTTATTATAATACTAACTGTAAAATGTGTACAATACCTGGTTACACATTGGCTTGCAGTACTGGACGCTGTCAATGCTGACACACACAAGACCACCATTTTGGGGAGCCTCTGGAACAGGGCAATTTTTTGGCATGAAGGCCTTGCAAGCTTTAGAAAGAGAAAATAATTCAGCACATTGGAAATTTGGCAACCTTACAAAATTATGCCATGTGTGACAGGGTCAGGCCAGACGGCTCCAGGAGAGTGCAGGGAAGGAAGGTATTAGCCTCAGGATAAGCAGATCCCTCTTCCCCTGGTAACTGAGCAGGGGTTAGTCCAGGTTAATTAGGACACCTGGAGCCAATTAAGAACCTGCCAGAATGGGTTAAAAGCCTCCCCCCAGCCAGTCAGTGTGGGTGATAGGTGTTGTGAGAGTGAAGCTAAGTGGTGTGGAAGCTGACAAGGACCAGGGGAGAACCCCACAGGTATAGCGATTGGGGAGAAACCCTACCCTAAACAGGAGCTAAGGACCCTTCCAGGTCCAAAGACCTGAAGAAAAGGACCCTGCCAGAGGGGAGAGATTGAGCTGTGCATTTGGTGTGGTGCTGCCATACCTGGAAGGGCTACTAGGGGCTCTCCCTCCCCCCGCAGGAGGGTTGGGAGGAACCCTGTCCAAGCAAAGTGGGAACAATAAGCCAAGGGGCATGGGGAAGTAACCCAGGGAAGCTAGCAGCTTTCCTGGGAACTGACAGCATGAGGCTGCTACTTGTTGGGGCCTGGAGTAGAGGGTGGGACTGCCCCCCCATCCCTTCTTTTCCTCTCACTGGATGTCCACCAAGGAGGCCAGAAGTCCCAGTGAGGGCCTAACAGGCCCAGAAATGTGAAGGCTGGTTGGAGACAGAATTTACCTGCCCACTATACACCAGGGGAGTGGGGATTCTGAGAGGCAAGATGCTATCCTGACCAACTGCTAGAAAGAAGCACGGGACCCACCGAGGCAGAGAAGAAGCCCTGCTACATGTGATTGAAACAAGTCATAATTGCACTCAATGCAATTATCACCATCAAATCTAGGGTCCACATTCTCTTCCATGCTTTTGTCTCTATGTCTCCCTCAGGAGGCTCAGAGCACACACTTTTCATGAAAATATTAGTTTTGTCAAACACAATTTTCCATCAAAAATTGTTTTGATAGAATACTCTTGACCAGACCTAGCTGTTATGTTTTAAAAGTTCATCATGTTGTGTATGGCTCAGGTTGGCATTTACAATCAGTGCAGAGAAATTTGAAAATATCACATTTAAAATAATTAAATATTACACAGTTTTATGGAAAATATGATAAACTGCCCATTCCTCAGTGCTACAGATTCAATAAACCTACTTACTGCAGCTACTTACATTTCTTATAACATGAAAGGCTAGAAACATTTTGTTTTTAATAACATCTTAGGGTTTAGCTACACTGGTGCTGAAAAGTTAGTAATGTCCACTTCAAGGAGAAATATTCACACTAGCTCTGATCAAGCTAGCATGCTAACTAGTATCTCTAGTGTAGACACAGCAACACAAGGGGTGGAACTGACAAGCTGCCCAAGTATGTACTTAAGATTTCAGACAGGATCATACTCATAGTAGCTAGTCCCTCCCATCATTTGCACCATCATGGTTATATATTTTTAGCATGCTAGGCTGATCAGAGCTAGTTACACCTTCCAGCTCCAGTGTAGACATTGTCTTAGATTCTGTAGAAAATGTGATCCCCAGAATAATACACTTCACTACTTACTCAGGGGCATAACCCCAACTTTGAATACCTCTGGTCTAAAGCCAAGTTGTAAACACTAATATCCTCCCATTTTATGTAGATTGTGAGGAAAGGACTTGATGGGAGAAATGGACAATATTCTTCCAAAATCTCAGTAAACATCATTGCATCATCTTCTGTGTTTGGACATGGCGAAGGAGGAGAACTGGACCCAAGGAATATATGTATCTGGAAGGAATCCATGTCCCCAGCCAGGCCCATAGCAATCCAGACAAGGATGTAGGTACACATGTGTGCAGTGTGTGGAGCTGCACAGGAGAACATCTCTTGCCTCTCAGATGCCTTTTGCATCTCAGCCTACTGTGGAGTGTCTAGAGGGCAGACGGAACTGACGAGGCCCTTTTACCCTTGCTGGGGTTAGGGACGCTGGTGGCAGGATCTTCATTTTCTCCTCTGTCCCCATGAAGGAGAGGGAGACCAGCAAGGGGACAGATCTACCTGTAGCAGAAGGGAGGCTGTTAAGGGACTCAGAGCTTGGACAATTCTTCTCCAAATCCAGTTCAATATCTCTCGCTTCCTGGGTAGAAATTGAGGCAAAGGCCTCTCTGAGGTTGTTGGCTCTACACCTCTAGCTTTCTGGTCTGATTTCAAGGGTTAGGCCTTTGTGATGTCATTGACTAACCACATCTAAGCTTGCTTGTCTGAGGTCAAGGGACAGGCTGTTGTGAGATCACTGGTTCAGCATCTATAGCTTGCCAGGCTGTTGATGGCACAGGCCCCTGTGAAGTTTCTTAGGCCCAGATCTTAAAAGGTATGTAGGTTTAGGCTTTAAGTACCTTTGAGGAGCTGGGATTTAATCATGATTTTTTCCTGCTGCTTCCACTTTAGACCTGATAAGTTCTCATTTTGTCAGCCAGCAAAGAGCAGGAGATGGGCGGGGGTTGGAAGAGCTGAAGGGGGTTGGATCTGACATTCTGGTTCAAGCCCATCATTAATGATGCCCAAAAAATTTCTCAGGCTAGTACACTATGAACATAGATTCCCCTTCGGGTAAAAATGAAGAGTTTTTCCAGTAAAAGATAGGATCCTCACCTTTCCCTTGAACCTCTCTTAGGCGATCAAGTACCTGTTGCAATGACCATGCAAGGGAATTGATTTCAGTTCTCTTATCATCGGGAAGCATTTCAAGGAAGCACTGAGAAAACGTCTGTGGAGGGAGGAAAGACTGGATTGTTAATGTGGGAAAGGCTTGTGAAATTCAGAGAAAAGAGAAATCTCATAGTGTTTTTCATTATCATAACAAAGATAATTTTTTCCTAAAAATAATTAACCTAAACCTGAAATTTGTGTGCTTATAAACAAATCTGCTTAAATAAATGCAGAGACTCGTGTGTTATTGCCAGAGAGCTCTGGGATATTGACCTTGGTTGTTTTATTTATATTATATATGTATAAGGAGCAGTGTAAAAGTGATTTTAAGCACAATTACCCCCACTGCCACCACATGCAACCTCTGATGCCTTCAAAATTACACAGAATTTGCAAAGAGAGGTGAGACAATAAGTAGGTACAAATCTGGGTTCCGTCAGAACAACCATGCTTTGATTTCCTAATGGCCTAAGCGCTAAGGGTATGTCTACATTGCATTGTAAGCCCAACAGCTGCCTGGTATTGGGGAACCTGGGCTTAAGCATCTACATTGTATCTTAACCCTATGTTAAGACTTTTCTAACCCGTGCTCGAACCTAGGGCTCTGGCATCCACACTGCAATGAGCAGGCCCCCAGAGTCCCTAGCATCCACCCCAAAATGTGGCTGCTCTAGCCCTATGACCATGGTGCACTGTGGGAAAACTTTACTGCCTGCCCTGTTCCTTACCAGGAAGCAGCTCACTTTCCAAAAGGCTTGATCGGTTCGTTCTCCATTGCGAACCCAGGAGGCTCTCTGATAGCGTGCTTGCAGATCAGTGATCAGAACAGAAAGGGTTAATGCTGCCCTGAGCTACTCATTCACAGGGGGAAGGGCATAGCTTCCATTTTCAAAAGAAGGGATTGCAGATTGTTGGAATAGAGAAGACTAAGAAAGTTGTCCCATGGAATTGTGGGATACTCCTGGAGACTCCCGGGACCCAAGACAAGCAGGGTTGCATCTACACTGCAAAGCAGACCCTGGGGCCTGGCATAACTCAAGCTCATACCTTCCAGCCCTACAGGGTCCCGGGACCCTGGGTCATCCTTCAGCTAGTACAATTGCAGTGTAGATGCAAGGGTGGTTAGGCTTGAGCCTGGGCTTAAGCACGGGCTTATGTTGCAGTGTAGCCATACCCTAAAACTACTGTGGTGCCAAGGAGAGCTGCAGGTGGCATGAGTGGAAGGAATAAAAAGCTGCAGTCCATGGATTGTCAGCAGAACCTCTCCTCAGAACTGCAGCTGTCTGTGTGGTGGGTGTGCACCTTCTTTATGGTGAGAATGGAAAGAAGATCAAATGTATTTGCTTATCCGCCTGCCCCATCCCAGCTCCTCCATCTCCCTTCCTCTGCTCCACCCTTTCTTCACAGTGTGAAAGGAGTCTTCTGCACAGAGTCCTGACATCCTGCCCCACCATTTCTTCACTGAGTGATTTGCTCCTAATAATGTTGTTAGTCCATATAAAGATGAGGCACAATTCCATGCAGAATCCTCCAGCTCATGGCTGCATTTATGCTTGTCTTGTACAGTCTTACAACTGAGGTGCAAACTCCAATCTGTCTGATTAGTAGGCAACAGCTCTACCAGCTGAACTAAAAGTGACCCTCTTCGTTCTGGTCTAGCCAGAAGGAACTGTTGCAGACTAGTGTACAATGTAAATCCCTCTTCTTTATACATCTTAAACCTCATCAGCTCCAGCCCCATACATACATACAGCTATGAGACCACAGAGTGTATAAAACCAGGTCTTTACCTTCACCTGATGATTCAAATCACTTAAATCAGCATTTTTACAATCGGCAGTTCCAGCTTCAATAAAATCTAAAAACAAACAGACAGGGCAGCATATATATCTGTTGATGCTTCTAAAAATAAAAAAAAGTACATTTTTCTCTGCCTGTTGGAATATTAGTGGAGCACTAAAAAAAGGTGAAGGGGGGGGACATTATTCTTATTATATTTATAATTACATGCACATTTTTCCTCCTTAGAGACTCATATCATAGGTACTAGCATCTGTTCTCAATGATATCACAACTAAAGAGACACTCAAACAGTGTAGGCCACATAACGTACTATTCTAAAAGGAAGTTAAATCCAAAGCAATGTCTTTAGTAGAGGATGACATCCTGATGCAATTATCAATATTTTGCTCATCCCATTCAGAAATACTTTGTGACATTTGTGATGGGTAGATTTGAGACCTAAACAGGTAAACTATGTCCATTTACCACATGGGACCAAATTCTGCTCTCAGTGACATGGATGTAAATCTAGAGACAGACTATTAATTTCAGAGGTCTTATTGTAGAATTATGCAAGTGTAACTCAGATCATAATCTGGCCTATAAAGTCCATTGGGAGGAGAGGATTACTACGGCAGTGGCTACTAGACTTTTGTCTTTGGAGACCTGGGTTTAAATCCTGGTTTAGGTCACAAGCAAAACTGAGATTTGTTGGTTTTACCCAAACGTCTCCTCTGAGGAGGGCCTTCTAGCCCCCCAAGCCTGTATAGTAACTCCTCACTTAAAGTCATCCTGGTTAACGTTGTTACGTTGCTGATCAATTAGGGAACATGCTCATTTAAAGTTGTGCAATGCTTCCTTATAAAGTTGTTTGGAAGCCGCCTGCTTTGTCCACTGCTTACAGGAAGAGCAGCCCGTTGCAGCTAGCTGGTGGGGGCTTTGAACCAGGGTGGACCAGCAGCCCCCCTATCAGCTCCCTGCTCCCCTAAGTTCCCTGTGCGGCAGCTGCCCAGCAGGCTACCAACTGCCAGCAGTTCAGCTGTCCCTCCCCGCACTGCCATGTGCTGCTCCTGCCCTCTGCCTTGGAGCTGCTCCCGGGAGCCTCCTGCTTGCTGTGCAGGGTGGGGGGATGACGAGGGCTAATGTCAGGGTGTCCCCCTCCCCCCTGCTCCTGCCCCCCGCTTGCCCCCTTCTCCATATAGAGCAGGGTGGGGACAGGACAGGGCTCAGGATGGAGAGATCTGGCCACAGCTGCTGTCTCAACTTCCTGATCTTTTTAAAGGCAATGTACTTAGAGTGGTGTCAGCGTACTTAAAGGGACAATGCGCATCTCTCTCTCTCTCTCACACACACACAGGGGGGGTGTCTCTGTCTGCCATGCCGTCTCCCCTCCCTCCATTCGTGCTGCCTTGTAGAGTGTGAGGCTACATTAACAACAATGTGTTAACCCTTGAGGACTCAGCCGCGTACTAGTTCATCATTTAGCAGTAAGGCATTTCCTGGGAAATATCCCACCCTCTTCCACCCTCTGACTCCACCACCTCAACCAAGCGTCACAATCATCATTGCTGTGTACAGTATTAAATTGTTTGTTTAAAACTTATACTCTGTGTGTGTGTGTGTATATATATATACATATACATATAAAATATAGTTTTTTGTCTGGTGAAAAAAATTACTCTGGAACCTAACCCCCTGCCCCCCATTTACATTAATTCTTATGGGGAAATTGGATTTGCTTAACAGCGTTTCGCTTAAAGTCGCATTTTTCAGGAACATAACTACAACGTTAAGCGAGGCGTTACTGTATATGCCAATATATTTGTTGGTCTAGTGAAAGGTATCACAATACCTACCTTTAGGGTTGCCAACCCTCCAGGATTGTCCTGGAGTCTCCAGGAATTAAAGATTAACTTTTAATTAAAGATAATGTCATGTGATGAAACCTCTAGGAATTCAGCCAACCAAAGTTGGCAGCCCTACCTACCTCGTCCATAGTTTTATTAGCACCAATACTGTCTTTAGCCACAGGGTGAGATTTGGCCTAGTGCAGAGGGTTGCACAAGGCCCTCTGCACCACCTAATTGAGAGTTCTAATGGTGCACAGGGCTTTGTGTCGGGCCCTCAGCATTGGGGTGAACTTCATCCTGAGTGGTTAAGTATGTATACTCCCTTTGAGGGGGGCAAAAAGATGTTAAAGGGGCCCCTGATGTCTCCCCTTGCCCTGTGTAAAGTAAATCCCATAGAGCCACCACAGCAGCTCCTACCTCACTCCCTGATCCCAATCCCTATCTCAGGGAGCATGTTTGAGAGAAAAATGGTCAAGCCAGGGAATTCCTACCTCCCAGGAATCTCTGGCTGCTTGATCCAGCCTTAATCAGCCAGGTGTAGGTTAGATTGAAGCTGCTTTTACTTATGCTGAGGACTTCTTTTCTCCCCGGCCATCCTAGGTTTAGATGGGGAGGTGTAAATGTTGCTTAAAGCCACCTTTGCCCCACCTCCCTCACTTAGCTGCACAGAGGACAGCTCAGACAGCCTCATAGCACGGACTTCTTGTTAACTCTTCTCCTTATGCATGACTAGTGTATCTCCCTTTGAAATTACTGCTAGGTCCCTAGGTCACCCACTACCTCCCCTGAAAAGAAATGGCAAACTTTATGATCACATTTGTCTGGAATAAATCTATCTTCAAGTCCCACTGTGAAGAGTAAAGGTGACAAATGGAAAATAGGAGGTTTAAAACAAACAAACCTTGCCTGTCAAACAAAGGGTGTCAAATAAATAATCTCTACCAGCACAGTAAGAACAAGCAAAGCAGAAAGAACAGGGATAACTTTGTGTGTATTTTTGCAAGATAAGATGGTTATGGTTCAAATTCTAGCTTGGATAGCTGAGGATATCAATTTTCAAATTCAAACCAACTGCAGAAGGTGCTCAAATGCCCATTTTAGACACCGCCTTGTCTATTTGGGTGCCTGAAGGTGGAAGTAGCTGCCTATCTTAGGTTGAAAATTGTTTTCTGTAAGGTATTATTAAAGAATGGTCACAACTTACCTGTAATAAGCCACACTGCACTGATGAAAAACAGCATTCTCCAGAGCAGGTGGGAGTTGTACTTCATCTCTGCTTCCGTGGAGCAGGTAGTAGTTACTCTTTCCTTGTGAAATCAAAAACAGAGGTGCAGGAGAAGCACAGACAAGGCTGTATTTGCACTGGGTCACTGGTTATTTAGCTTGTGCTTTGTCCAAAGTTAACAGTGTTCCCATCATGGAGTATGCGCATTGCCCAAGCTGCTGGGAACCCACTGGAGACCCTGCCAGGAATTCACCTAGGAAAGATGTTTATTTACATGGTATTGGATCGGGGCGCCCACAGTCCCTGCCGCTGCTGCCACAACTAGGAAGTCCTCTGACTAATTCACTAGTTTGCTGTAAACCTTTTGATCACTACTTATTTTCTAATCTCCAAATGCCTGATTTGTCACCTTTAAAAAGAAAAATATCAAAAAATTGGCTCGCTCACTACTAGTTTTCACCCACTTTAGCAAAAATGGGCCAGACTCACAGCTGGTTTTAGGATACTGCAATTAGCTAAGGGCAAGAGGTAGTTGAATCATTCATGGAGTTAACCCTTTTGGGCCTGATTTTCCACTATTTTCTGCCTTTGGTAGCAAGCTACAACAGTGCAAAGTGAGTGAAGAACAGCTCTAAATGCTACCACTGTGTAAGCAAGTGGATAATTCTGATTTGTTAGCATTTTGCCCCTGCTTTGTATCTATGTAAATGGCTACACAAGTTCAAATACAGTGGAGCATCAGACCCTTTCTCTGGGAATCATACACATATTACTCCTGATTTCTGCTATTTACTGGTAGGTTTTTGTCAAGTTCAGACAGTTTATAGACTAAAGTTTGTTAACAAATTGCTTGCTTTGACTATTTGTTATTCATTATTCATGTTGTCTGAGCGGTCAGCTAAAGTCATATAAGATTGATTCTGCTCCCTCATTGGAGGACTTTATAAAAAGGTGAATAATTGATGGTGAATAGCATGTAATAAATTGCAAACAGCAAATACCCCTTCTTTCCATGTGAAAAGAGCTATCCATGCCACACAAAAAAAAACCCCACACCCTCCAAATCCAGCCATTCCCAAAACTTCCATGCAAAGAAAAACCTGTTCACATTAATGAATGCGAGTAGAAAATTAAAAGGAACATCAGCATGCTGGACCCAGAGAGCCACTAGGAATTTGAAGGGCTGTTGGAAAACACTGTTTTTGCAGGACTCCGCCTGCTCTATTTGAATCACTCTGGTAATATGCAGAAAGCCCTCACTACCACCGCGCATGAGGTTGTCTCTTCTGTGGATAAAGAAAGGATGGCTTCAGCCTACAGGATTGCCAAGCCAGCCCCTTTCACTAGTGCTAAATTCACCCTGATAAATCTGCTAGCATAGCTTTATCTAGATGTCTCTCTTCAGTTGCTCACTTGACCTCCTGAGGCCCAGATCTTCAAAGGTATTTAGGCACCTAACTCCCATTTATTTCAATGGGAGTTAGGCACCTAAATACCTTTGAGGAGCTGCGCCTGAATGTCTAACTTTCACATCTCATGGGGAAACAAATTCAGAAGCAATTTGTGAAAATGTTGATCATGGTTTTGATGGTTTTGACATGACTTCTGCATATGGGTTTCCAGCCCAACGTAACAAACAAATGAGCTATTGTTTGCACTTATATGGGAGCTTTGCAATTGACTTCAATGCTCTCAGGACTAGCTGTTTAGTGTGGGAGACTCTGAATGCGAGTAGGCCCCCAGCCAAGAGGAAGGGTAAGTATCTTAGCAAAGCATATGCCTTGGGCCAGATATTTTCAGGAATTAGGCACTGACAGACAAGGTGCCAGATCATTCATCTCGCTTCAGCTGCTTTGTGCTGGTCTGACAAAGCGAGCCAGCCACAATGCTAGTTGATCCAGTCAGCTGAGGCTTCCCCTAGAGTAAGGGGAATTCCTGGATTCTCCATGACAATACTTCCCCACAGCCATGCTGTAGGGGTCTTCTCCCCAGGATGTTCTGTCTGTGGAGTGTCTATGTCTTGGCAATCCCTAGCTGCTGGGACTCTCCCTTGGGGCCAAAGACAGCTGGTGTAAGCTAAAGTAGGGTTACCATATGTGGAGTGTCCCAAAAGAGGACACTCCACGGGGCCCCGCCCCCGCCCCCCGCCCCGCCCACGCCCACGCCCAAACTCTGCCCCTCCCCCAAAGTCCCCGCCCCAACTCCGCCCCCTCCCCTGCTTCCCGCGAACATTTGATTCGCGGGAAGCAGGCAGCAGGTAAGGGGGGGGGGAGGGAGGGAGGTGAGGCGGCGCGGCGCGGGCCAGCCCCTGGCCGAGCACCCCCCGGCCGCCCAGCTCCGCCGGCCCC